AAAACCCTGCCAAACGGCAGCACTCATCTTTTCCAGTTTTCAATATTTTCTGTTGTCATTTGACATTTTTAACTTATATGTAAATTCTAAATTCAAATATTGAAAAAAAAAATGACAGAACTGTCAAAACCTGTCATTTGTTTTAGTAGAAAAAAATACTCTTATCTGGTCCTTTCTCGTTTTAAGGTAGTTTATTGGTGATAAAACATTGAACAAAGTTCATGCACGTCACATTTTGACAGCTGTCATTTTTTTTCCAATTTTTGAATTTAGAATTTACATGTAAGTTAAAAATGTCAAATAACAACATAAAATATTGAAAACTGGAAAAGATGAGTGCTGCCGTTTGGCAGGGTTTTGACAGGTGTTAAAACGGTTGACATTTTTCGACTTAACTTGGTCGAATTAGTAGAAATAGATTTTTTGTTCATCAAAATCTGCCATAGTTACTCTGCTTTTGGATTCAAGATTCCAATATTTGACAGTTAACCACGCCTCACCTGTCATACATACAGGGTTGTGCCCATGGTAAAAAATGTTGCTTACGGCATCCCCAATAACATATTTAAATTTCATCCAAATATCACGGGTAACCAATTTCCATTTAAATATTGCGGGGTCCTTTCTCTAAATAAAGAAAATTCAAGAGCCTGGAATAGAAACATAATTTACTTGGATGGACTATGGACTATTCTTTGTTCTGAGACAATGATCGATCAAATACAGTTATTAGTTACAGGGTGATCTATTATAAATGTAACCCCCTGCTAACTTTTTCATTTGACGTTTTTGACAGAAGTCTCAAATACAAAAGATTCAAGAAATTGTCAAAAGTTTTTAACTAAGTCACTTTTAGGCATACAGGGTGCATCAAAAAAGTGCAGCAGCGTGAAGTTATATTTTTTTAAATGGAACACCCTGTATATTGTGCGCTTATTTGTTAGTCCCCTTTAACCTGTTTTCAACGATATCGGGTTTGATATGTCTATCTTTAACAGTTATAGGGAAAAACATGAAAACTCCTTTTAAGGTTTCATATTGAAAAAAGGAAAATTATACCATTTAAGCTTTAAAGAATTTTTTTTCTATTATCAGTTTATTGTTCAAATTTTATTCATTAATATACAAGGTGAAATATTATAATAAATCCAGATGTCTAAGCTATTATTTTCATTAAAAAAAAAAAACATGAGAGACCTAGGAAGGAATTTTCGTGTTTTTCCCTATAACTATTGGAGATAAACCAAGGGATAAACATATCAAACCATATATCGTTGAAATCAGGTTAAAGGGGACTAACAAATAGGCGCACAATATACAGGGTATTCCATTAAAAAAAAAAAAACTTCACACTGCTGCACTTTTTTGACGCACCCTGTATGCCTAAAACTGACTTAGTTAAAAACTTTTGACAATTTCTTGAATCTTTTGTATTTGAGACTTCTGTCAAAAACGTCAAATGAAAAAGTTAGCAGGGGGTTACATTTATAATAGATCACCCTGTACCTCTATTTATTTACCAAGTGAGAAAAGTGATAGTTTGCCTTCGCAACATTATTTGAACTCAACTAAATTTCAGCCCAATCAGGGTGCAAGATGAGTTTCTCAAGCTACTTTATGTGAACTGTTACTTTAAAATGATCAGAAATCATAGTTTTACGTGGAAGGTAAAACTTATCTGGGTAGTGGGAGCCGACTAAGGGCCAAATTATGGACTGACTGGTAAACGTCCGGTTATTACCTAGCAGGTACTTTCTATGCACTAGAGAATAGAAAGTACCTGCTAGGTAACAACCAGACACTTACCAGTTGGTCCATAATTTGGCCCTAAGGACTATAGGGCCTTATGGCAGGTCAACCTGTGGGACCCGATTCTTGTCTCAGGAAGTAAAGCTCCCCGGTAGAACGAATGTTTTGTCCTTGTCAACGCGATCGAAAAGTAAAAAGAATGATAAACACGAAAAATGTGTTTTGTTGGAGAACTCTACTCCCTAGTCCGAGAATCGGCCCCCTGGACAGGAACAAACAGCCAGACACATTCTGGTTAACTGCGAGGCACTGAATCGCAAAAGACAACATTTCCGGATTAAACACACTAGCTGACGTCACACACATAACCTCACTTTCGTTGGGGAGACAAACCAAGGTTCCTAAAGTAATAGGTTGTCTGGTAATAGTAATGGGTAACTTGATGACGCATCTGGGGTGCCTTATGTAGATTTGCATTATGTTAAGGCACTCCGGATGACGTCATAAAGCTATCAGGTAACCTATCTTCCTCAAACAACCTTGGGACAAACAGAGCGTTTAAAGAACCAGTTATACACACAGGTGTTAGCTTGTCACTAATGACATAACGTCACTTTCGATAGGGGGACAAACATCGCATTAAGGTTATGTGTGTGACGTCAGCTAGTACCTAATTTGAGGAAGTAAAGAAATCGCGAAGTTAAAAACCGACGAACGGAAATTTCGTTTTCCTAAAGAACAAAATTGCGTACCGTTCAAGAAAAGTATAGATAGTTACTCGTTACTCGAAACATTTTACTTTGTATTATTTGTAAATTCAAAATCCGAGAACTTTTCCATTGTACAAATAAAGCGGTAGTTTGGGTCGCTTTTTCCAGACACGTAAACGGTGCCGGTGCACACGGCTAATGCCCCAAGCCATAAAAATAATAACTTTTTAAAAAGTTTCCAGAATAAATTTTCTTCCCGGTTTTTAGTGAAACGGAGCACGTGCGACCCATATCTTCAAGCTCTATCCGGAGAAACTCTATATAGCATCTGTTTTTAATTACTAAAGTAAATAGAGAACGTGTAAGGGGTAGTTTATTTAATGTCATTCATTTTGGTTAATTTGGAAACGATTCATCAATACGTTTCAGGAAATGCTAACATGGTTGTTTCTAGAGATATAGGAGAGTTGTTGGTTAGAATAGAATAAGGGTCCATCCTGGGTGCGCAACTGGCCGAATTTGAAGGACGGCCATTTTAATCACTTGTGAAATTGGGGTGTTGGAGAAATAGGTTATGAACAACTCCTTGTGGCGGAAACTCCAAAAATGTTCAAAAATATGCAAAAATAACAAAAAGAAATCTTTCAAAACACCACTCTGATCAACGTTGTTTGAGAGAGGTAGGGTGCCTAATAACTTTATGACGTCATCTGGGGTTCTTGAACATAATACAAATCTCCATAAGGCACCCTAGAATGCGCAGCAAGTTACCCATTACCAGATAACCTATTACTTTATATCTCAGAAGAAGCAGGAAAAATCGCCAACAACAACAATGGCCGTTTTCGATTCGCAACGGTTCGGCCTGGTTGGTTCGGATATGACAGAAGTTGGTTGACAGCTTCTGAATTTAGTCTGTCAAGAAAGACGCCATGTTTTAAGGTTATAAAAAGAAACCGAAATATAAATAAAAATATAAATAAAAATAAATAATTTGTCATTTTTGGTTTGGCATGTTTGTTTGAATCTTTAGTCAAATAGGGCATGTCCATGTGACGTCACAAATGAGTTTGACAGTCGCCCTGAGGAAAAACAAATCATTTATTTACATTCGTGTAGATTAGGTCGGTTATGTTTTACGAGGTTTTCACAGCTTTTTTACAAGTTTTTGTGTTATTTTGTTTTAAAAAAGTTAGAGCGGAGTGTTTGTGTTCCAGTCTATGTGGTGTTTTATTCAAAAGTTTGCTAGGTTTTCCTATAATGGATTAAATTCAGGTTTTATCCAACAAATATCAAAACTAAGTGTCTCAAGAACAAATATATAAGTATAGTTACTCTATATTCAATGTATTTTTCTGTCAGATCTTCTCTTTTAAGAACATTAATCAATTTTCCTCTTCTTTTTTGAGCTAACAAATCAAACCTCCCATTGTTATTTAAAATTGATGGAAACCTATGGAAGGATATTGTATCCCTTGCGCTATACTGCCACAATTAACAACTAAACAAAGTCTAGGCATGTCCAAGAAACTTCTGGAGGGCACAAAAGGTATTTATTTAAAAAAATCTAATTAAAAACCTAAAAAACACTGTAAAGTATATCTTTGTTTTACCTCAAGGCGACTGTCAAAAGTGCCAAACTGTCAGATCGTGTACTTGCCCTATAGGAAAAGGAATTAGAGGATTTTTGTGTCTTCGTGTCCGAGAACTATAAAATACCATTTAAAATATCGTATTGTTAGCGGTAGGTACCGTATTAGCGTAGCGTCTGAGGCACGAGAACTTTCTAATAGTGATGAAAATGGCGGCACTCTATAGTCCTTTCTACGTGACTCCCGGTTAAACTAATCGTAGCGGTATTTCAAGTGATGACGTCATTGAAAATGCCACTTGAAAATAAACGGTCATTTATAAATTTAGGCAATCCAACACCTGTCATAATTTTCCCGCTGTCCATTTTTTACAAATTTTCTACTTTTTTTTTTTTAACCGTTAAACGTAACCTATATCGCCGAGGTGGTTAGAGAAATGACATATACCGTTTCTCCTAACCCGGTTACAAAGTGACGTCATCGATACCACTCAAATTTGAGCAGTATGTTGCGGTTTTTTAAACCAGAAGATTTATGCGTTACTATAGCTTTGTTCCAACCCAGCAGGAAACCGTAATATTACCGTCAATATTCTGCGCAAAACCTTAAATTTTTGCGTGGAAACCAATGACACCACATTACGTTCCACTTAGTAAAATGTTATTGGTAGAAACCGAAATTCGTATACAGAGTGGTTCCGAAATCGTTCTGGGATGGATTTTTGACGAATTGGAACAAACCTCATAAAATCGGATGCGCAGTCGTCTAAAGCGCATTCTATTTCTTCCTCACATATCTCTGGCTATTTCTCATATAAACTTTGTTTCACGATGGTTCATACTTTTTGCCTTCCTTTCAAATAGAAATTGACTGAAACAAATCAATGACGTCAAAAACGAACCTTCGTGAAACGATCTATACATATATTTGAAAATAATTTTGTTTCCAGGCGATCTACTACTCCAATCAACCAAGCTCCAACTCTCCAACCAAACGAACAACCATCAACCGTTCAACTAACACCAAGACACATGCAAACCAACCGAAGCCTCACCCCAACCAGCAACGTCAGATCCCTAACTCCTACCGTTGGACTATCCAGTTCGGGAACCGAACAGTCCGGACTTAGTTCCTCGCTGGACGAACGTCACGAAGACACTCCGCCTCGAATCAGACACAGCTCAGCTTCTAGCTCCCAGACTATTTTCAATAACACGCCCCAATCAGCTACCAACTTGCCCTCAATTGGCCAAGTGCAGCATGTAACGCCCACTTTGGCTGGTAACAGGGGCGTGGCCGCCGTTCAAAGGGCGGTTTCAATGCCTGCCACTCCCGCTGCTGAGCCTAGCAGCTCTAGGACTCCTGCCAGAAGCGAAGAGAAAGCTGCTAAAAGGGTGAACTATAGTCAGAGCGAGAGAGCGCCCAATAGGCCGCCTTTGAACAGGTCGGTTAGTAGGAGAGAAATGATTAAAAATTATATTAGGAAGGAGACTGCTAACTTTTTTGGGGTTGATGAGGAGAATGAGGATGAGGAGCAAAAGAGATGGTTGGATAGGAGAAAACGGATGGCTTCAAGGTAAGGTTAAACCTTTTCATTGAGTTGTTCTGATGTTTCTGGTTAAGTCTGAGTTGTAATCACATTGTAGTGAAAGACCTTCATAATTTCAGAATTTAATATGCTTAAATTCAGTATAGATTGTTCTGACAATTAGGGTATTCATTTCTTCTTGCTTCAAGCAGATCTCAGTAGATTGGCGTTCCATGTCCCATATTATTAAAAGCTCATATATAGCAGATCTTTTTAATTTTCGAGCAGGTAGAGCAAGTACAAATGCAGCCTAAATAACTGACAACATGACAGGTAAATAAATAGGAAACAGTCCACAGTAAATAAGGTAATGAGATATACAACATTCTTCCTCGCTCAGTTTCTGGCATAATCTTAAAGATATGAAGTTGGCCTCTTTACCATAACACTACCGGATTCAACAGTAGGTTTCACTGAGGTAGCTGGAGAATTTTCATTGTGAGATTGTTTAGAATTTTGGGGAGGGGAATAAACGTTCTGAAATGACTGATGTAAGATTTTCTTTAGGAATAGTCAACTCATTGAAATCTTGTTCTGGCAGTTTTATGGCATTTTGATCTTGTTCTGGTAGTTCATATCATTTTGATCTTGATCTGTTAAAGCTAGCAGTGTCACATCTCCCTTTGGTGCTAAGTGACGAGTTGATACAGTAATTTCTCTTCCATTTAATAGGCCTACATGAGCAGGGCCGTCTCTAGCCATCTTGGGGCCCTAGGCACTTTTAAATTTGGGGGCCCTTATCCCAATTTTTCAAAATGTCAAAAAAGGCAACAATAATTATTCAAAACAGAATGAATATATTTATATCAGGGTGTCCACTTAGTGCGATATCGGACGATATCTCCTTACAGGGTGATGCAAGAAAAAAAATTAAATTAAAAAGTTGTTTGATTCTCTAATATGCATTAGTTAAAAATATTTCGGAGATTAAATTTAACTGAAATTTTTAATCATGGATTAAATTCAAAGTTGGTGTTAAATGACAGTTTATGGAAATCTAAGATAGGAATGTGAAATCGGTTTTCGTCTAAAATTTACCGTTTAGGTTTTACAGCCTGTCAAAGTTGCAAAAAGTCCATTTTTAACTGTCAATATTTCCAAAACAGTTGAACCTAGGTATAGGGTATATATTTCATGAAATCTGGTCAGAATTTTACGTAGAATCCAAACATTCAATCACATACAGGGTGTTCCACTTAGAATAAGAAAGTTCTGTCGCATATTCCATAAACGAAGCACCCTGTATATTCAAAAATATTTTCAACTAATGCATATTAGAGTATCAAACAACTTTGTAATTTAATTTTTTTTTTTTTGCATCACCCTGTAAGTAGATATCGTCCGATATCGCACTAAGTGGACACCCTGTATAGGTATATCAAAAATAATAAAATGAAATATATTTTTAGGTACAGGGTCTGTTCCTCACTCGGTTCCTCATAATTAGTGCGGCTCCTACAACCTAAACAAAAGAAAATACAAAAAAAAGTTTAATACAAAAGTTGTAGGGTTTTATATCTATTACGTTTTGCACATGTGAAAATGAGCTAATGACAGGTGCCGACTGTCATAATGACAGTACTGGCATTTTTTTTAAATAGAACACCCTATATATTTTTGGCTAAAATGATCAACAGTTGAAAGATGCTGTAAATATAACCTCCCTGGTATGCCAAATATTGAGAATAGTTGATGAGATATACAACAAACATTTCATTGATTTTTCATCTGATTCACTTATTAAAAAAATACTGACTCCTAAAATCAGTCCCACTATGATGCCTTATTTATAAGTTATTCCACTGGAAATGGCAACTTAAGTGAGTTCAAGTAATAAAACCCCAAAAGTTAAGCTTCAAAAAGCACAGGCTTACTTGATGGTGCATTTGTTACAGCCCTGTCGGTAATTAAATGCGAATTATAGGGTCTTAATGGTATCGCTTCTGAAATTAGCAAAGCAATTTTTTTTTTTTTTTGCTCGAACGCTCCAACAGCACCGCATGCCGAAAAGAGCCCCCTAAAGACTCTAAATGGTCGTTATAAATAAATTAAACCGCCAACCGCATTGGCGATTTATAAAAGTGGTTAATTTTTTAAATATTCAGCTGCATAATTCAAAAACTTTTTACTGGGTCACTCAGAACTTTCCACATCAATTCTAATATGAACCAAAAGCTAGAATAACATGGCCGAAAGCAATAAATCTGCTAAACTAAGCACAGAGTTTATATTACGTATGTATATGCGGGCACGATTTAATATATCTAGCATAGCGTGGTGGAACTTTATTAAATCCAAAGATCAAGAATCGAATTTGCATTATAATTTCAGAACTATGGGGCCTCTGAAAGAAGAATACGCTACATTGAGCTACAGGCCTCAATCTCAAACGGCTTCGCCCTTGCATCTACGACATAGGAGAACCGCTTCGGAGGCTGTGCCTCAATCAATCAATTCTGGTCAGCTTATTGCAGGAGGTCGGCCTGATGTACTGCCAGGAGATGTAGCAGACGGAATTGATCGGATGGGGTCTGGATTGAGGAGGAAAGATTCTGTAGCTAGGATGACCTGGAATGGACTTAATTATGTAGTAACGGTAAGATGATTTTGATAATTGAATAAGGACAGTTTCAGATTGTTAAAGTCTATACGAAGTTATTTGGACTAGTACAGGGTGACTCAGAGTAAATTTCCCTTTTCGAACGCGCCCTGTACATCCAACTTAATATTTGTGGGGAGATTCGCGCTGGCAATATGCGGCGACTGCGTGCGGATTATCAGTAAACATGGAGCAGTGGTCGAACGAGCAACGCGCGTTTATGGTCGAGGCACGGCGACGTTTTTGTAACCGTAACCATATTCGGCGTATACGTGACGCTACGTCAAAAAATGTATTGAAATCTTGGGTTCAAAGATTCAAAGTGGTACAGTGGCAATTGGCAAATCAGAAGCGCCTGCCATGTTTTCGAATTGAGCACCTCGAATTTTCAGTCGCAGCACAATCCCAATGTTTTCTGGCGTTCTGATGGACTTCTGTTGGCCGGGACGCTTCGGATTTGCCATTGGAGCACTTTGTCTGAATCTTTGAACCCATAATTTCAATAAATTTTCTGACGGAGTATCACGTATACGCCGAATATTGTAACGGTTACAAAAACGTGCCGCGACATAGGAATCGTTTCATTTAAAAAACGCCTCGACACTAAACGCGCGTTGCTTGTTCGACCACTGCTCTATGTTTACTTATAATCCGCACGCAGTCGCCGTAAATTGCCAGTGCTAACCTCTCCACAAATATTAAGTTGGATGTACAGGACGCGTTCGAAAAGGGAAATTTACTCTGAGTCATCCTGTATAAAAACTAAATCCCGGCATAAGTCGGCTTTTTCTTTGTCAATAGGCTAGTAAAACTAAGGTGTTTACATGGGGCAACCCGGAACAAATTTGGGACAAGCTGAAATTTTCAGGATACCTTATTTAGGTGGTCGACAATGTTTCCTTAAAAATCGCACTAAATCGCATGGGCCGTACTCGCCCAATCGGGCTTTAAACTCAAAAAATTGTGTTTTTTTAAATTTATTTGGAAATATCTCAAAAACTATAAACTTTTTTGAAAATCTATAAGAGAACAAAATTGTTGCCAATAAAAATACCTACAAAATAATTTTTTGTTTTTGAAAATCGGACTAAAAACAAAGAACTTATGGGCCTTTAAATAATGGGCCAATACGGCTTGAGCTCCAATTCTATTTAAAAATTGAACGATTTCAGTTAAATAAGTGAAAATATAATAGATTTATTAGAAATGTAATCTTGCAAATGATTAACCTTTGATAAATGTAATAGATTTGCTACATTTGCATTAAACTGGCAACACTGTTGATGATCGCTACAAGATAACGCAAGCAGAACTTCTAGGCTCGATACTGTAAGAGTGGAACCTTCTAGAAAGCGACGTGGCCATAACTTCTTTCCGTACTAGATAAAAAGAGTTTATGCAATATTTTGCTATGGTGGACACTTTGGTTTTTTGAGAAGATGTCAGTGGTTTGAAGAGAACCATTAATATTTTCTATGTACAAAACGAATGGAGACTGTTCATAGGTAGCTCTAAGCTAAGTTTAAAAGCTGTTTTGCTACCTAACGGAAATATTTTACCGTCGATTTCTATTGGTGACGCAGTCCATATGAAAGAGTCTTATGAAAATATGAAAAGCCTTTTGTTACGAATTAAGTATGATGAACATCAATGGCAAATCTGCGGAGATTTGAAAGTCGTAGCTCTTCTGCTTGGTCTACAAATGTGCTACACGAAATTTTGTTGTTTTATCTGCGAATGGGATAGTCGAGATAGAAATGTACATTACATAAAAAAGGTCTGGCCTCATCGTCAGTCACTTCGACCTGCGGGCCATCCTCGAGCCAGGGAGTGAAACTTCCCGAGAGAACAAAATTTTCGTCTTTATCATTCCCGTTTACTTTTCGATTACGTTGACAAGGACAAAACATTCGTTCTATCGGGAAGCTCTACTCCCTGGTCCGAGGATCGGCCACCTGGGCAAAAAATGTTCAAAATAACCCTTTAGTTGACCCACAAAAAGTATTATTGAAAAATTTCGTAAAATAAAATGAACAAAAATGGAGCTGCTTTTCAATACCTTCGTCAGAACTTTCCAAGATTAAGTGAAGCGATGATTAAGGAAGGTATATTTATCGGTCCTCAAATTAGAACACTCTTGACTTTGACTGTGTTTTGAAAGGTACGGAAAAAACAGCCTGGGAAGACTTTCGTCTTGACGCAAAACTTCTTAGGAAATAAGAGGACTGACAACTATGCTGAACTAATCGAAAAGATGTTATCATCGTACCAAGAACTATAGGTTGCAACATGTCCCTGAAAATCCACTTTTTACATTCACATTTAGACTTCTTTCCAGACAACTTTGGGACATTGAGTGACGAGCATGGAGAACGCTTCCATCAGGACATCGCAATCATGGAGAAACGATATCAGGGCAAGGGAGTGTTGCCATGTTGGCGGATTATTGCTGGACTGTTTGTCGAGATGTTCCAGAAGCAGAAAATAAGAGAGCAGCGAAAAAACCACGTCGCCATTCTGCAAATGAGTGAAAAAATATATTTTTTTCATTGGTTTTATACGATAACTACCATTTTCTTTTATGAAAAACATTCAATTAATTTGCGTCAGCGTTAATAAAGTTGAATTTGCCAAATGCAGTTAAATAGAATCGAAGCCCAATCCGCCCAATTTTTATAAGCCCATAACTTTTTTGTTTTTAAAGCGATTTTCAAAAATAAAAAATTATTTTGTAGGTATTTTTATTGGCAACAATTTTGTTCTCTTGTAGATTTTCAAAAAAGTTTATAGTTTTTGAGATATTTCCAAAGAAATAACAAAAAACACAATTTTTTGAGTTTAAAGCCCGATTCGGCGAGTACGGCCCATGCGATTTAGTGCGATTTTTAAGGAAACATTGTCGACCACCTAAAGAAGGTTTCCTGAAAATTTCAGCTTGTCCCAAATTTGTTCCGGGTTGGACCCCTAATTTTATTGGCCTACAAACATTGGCGGCGTAATTTCAAAAGGCACTACTAAATTTAATAATCAATAAACCAATCGAAAAAACTACAGTAGGTAATGCACTGCACTGTCTCTCACACCGACAACCATATTGTCCCAAAAGCGGAATGAACAAAAACAGTATGTACGAGGAGCAACCAGTATAAATTTTGCTCTATTTTTCAATATGTGATGCAGTATATTGACCATACCACTATTTTAGGCCTGGTCTAAGTAACTTCGTATAGACTATAATCGGGTAGTAATTTTTAAAACTAAATCTAATTTTCTAAAGAAAACAATTTCCACAATACAAGAACTCCCTCCGAGTAACAAATTCCGAATAGAAACGATGAAAAAGTGGGCGCAAACACAAAAGGGGTATTTTAATTAGAATTCGCAGCAGCGCGGCAGTCGTTAATAAATCGCAGCGAGCAAAAGTCTCATTCTAAAACAGAGGAAAAGGGGCATTATAATGAAAACAAATTAACATCCAAGATTGAGAATTTAAAAGTTAAATCAATTTTATATATAGACACTCACAAGACACCGTCCTCGTCCGCGTTCCCAGCAAAGCACCTGGTCCAGAAGTTTTCCACCTGACGTCCCTCGAACGTCCCCACAAGAACGTCTATCATCGGCTCCGGAAGAAGAAGCTGAAGCCTTCTTTACCAAATCGCGACCAACATCATTTGAAGGCGACACAGTCGATCGTAGTGAAAGAGTGAGGGTGATCGAGCCTGCTTATAGAACCGACAGAGATGTTAGGTATTCTGCTGCAACAGTTGCGGCACCAGTAGGTTGGAGAGGAGACTTAGACGGGGTTGTACTCAGACATCCCGAACAAAGAGCTGTTATTGGCTCGTCTAGAATAGCAACAAACACTTTGGATAGTATTTTGGATAATTCCGATAGGAGACAATATGGAATGGGATGGGTTGGAAGATTGTTTGGGTAAGAACTAACAATAACACCCAAAATCAATACTTAATACTTTTTGTTTATAGGCGATCATATAGAAAATCCGTAGTGGCAGACGCAAGGATACAGGCCCAATTAGACGACATGGACGATCACAGGCCGTATTTCACCTACTGGGTGACCACAGTGCAAGTTTTGGTTTTGCTGATATCGATTGTTTGCTACGGTTTCGGGCCGTTCGGGGTCGATCTTCAGGCCAAATCCAGTCAAGTGCTAGTCACTAGTCTTAGCTTACAGCAAGTGGATTATATGGAACCTGCTAATTTTTGGTAATAATTTTTGCTGACCATAATTGTCATTATATGGCGCAGAGATAAAAGTCAAGGCAACGTGAAAAGACTAGTTTTGGTCATCTGCGCATATAGTCAATAGGATCTCAATATTTAGGTATAGAAAAAAAATTCAGGTCGTTTTATTTTCAGGGGTGGTCCTAGAGCGGCAGATCTGATACATTTAGGTGCAAAGTTTGCACCCTGTATGCGATTAGACGACAAAATAACGCAACAAATTGAGAAAACAAGGAAAAAGGAAAAAGAGACCGCGTGCTGCATACGAAACGACGATTCTGGGTGCGTTCAATCGTCACAAGCCGACTGTTCGGTAAGCAATTTTAAGATTAGTTTTGGGAAATTGTTAAGTATTCGTTTTTTTACTAATTGCTAACAAAGGTGAGAGGATTAAGACCAACTGTAAGTCTCTTATTGGGTTTAATTTTTCAATTGGACTTATAATTAATATTTTTCTTTTTAACTAGAAAACAATATCAACATGGAAAAAATGGACATCTGGAGACGCAGGACCGGGAGGCCGAATATCTGGTTCCGTGTGCGGCTTAGATCCAAAGTGAGTAAAACGCAAGACAAAGTTTTTTTTTTAAAATTAATGTAAATTTTCTCAGGAAGGTCTAAATTTCTATTTCAGAAGTTCTTAGTTGGTTCTAGAACTTCTCCATTCTCCAGATGAGCATAAAGCCTCGTTCTCAGAAATATGTACAATCTATCGATTCTAATCTGATACTCCAAAGAAATGTGACCTGGGCTGGGATCACGACAAGTAGAATTCTACTTTCATGACGTCAGGTTGCCGAGCAACCTCCATCGTCGCCTGTACTGTACGCGATAAATAGGTCGCGGGTGACGTCATGAAAGTAGAATTCCACTCATCTCGATCCCAGCCCTGGTGGCTTGCCAAGGATGATACATACTTACAGGGTTGCTTATCGGCTTCGTTTTTGGTAATCGCCGCCATATTGGCGTGTCACCATTCCGATGTCATAACTAAGTATTCAGCTGTTTAAACAGCCTACGTCAAGGCGAGAAATAACAAGCGCCTACGTCACAACTGGTGATTTGGCTAGGGTGGGGGGAAGAGGGGATTTGTTCCACACAGGTCTTATGAGGATAGGCTATTCTGTAGTAGTATAGTCTGGCAAGTGGTAACTTGGCAGAGACGAAAGGGGGAAGAAAAGCGGGGCGTAACCTAAAAATGACACCTCAACTGTCACCGCCTGATGACAGCCATATTTTTGAGTTCAGTGGCACCAAAAACGCCAAGAAAATAAATGAATAAAATTATTAGAAAAAAAATCTTCAATTTCGCCAATAACCACGCCACTGGTGCTATCGTTCAGGCTCTAACCAATAGAATTATGCCTCTGAATAATTACGCCTCTCCACATCCATCATTTCGCAATGTTGCCGGATTCTTTTCTATTTCAAAATATTACACATGCCCATATAGCAAAAAAAAAATAATATGTCACCAACTGGTTTATTATTGTTTCCGTCAAGTTTGGCAAAGCAGCAAATTCTATTGCAATTCGCCGTTTGGCTAGCCAGACAATAGTGTGTATCATTTTCGGTGGCTACCTACTTTAGAACGTCAATGTCACCTGACGTCACACCTGTTTTTGCCATGTACTTCACCCCCTGGGAAAGTGTCAGATTAAAAACGACGGACAAAAGTATCTAGCAACATCTTGGAAATCAATAGAATCGACCTGTTAATTGAATGCTCGATTCCTATTGGTTACCGAAGTGTCGCTCGTGACACTACATAGTTCTAAGAACGAGGCTTTAGGCATGAAAGGTCATTTGTCACTTATGCCATTTACCGTCCTTCATTCACACTATCTGTCATAATCATTGTAATATCTGTAGTACGACAAAGGCAAACAACGTGATTCTAATAAATCAAGGTCTATTACGGCTAATATCACAGGTTAATTAATACTTTATATTTAAGTCTATTGCGTTACAAAAGGGATTTAGGCAAAAAGTGACGTCATAACAAGACATGGATTTCGACCGTGGTAACTTGTTAGGCGGTGTACAGCAAAATCCCTTTAGTCGCCCGACATGAGTTGCTCGTAGCAGGCGTATTTTTTTCCTAAAACGTCATGTGCAGCGTTGTAGTCACTATACAGTCTGTCCCTGTACTTGTATTGTACAGGATGTCAGAATCATTGACAATTTTCCACTTTTATACTAAGGTTATTTGGGAGAGGTAGGTTGCCTAAATAACTTTATGACATCTGGGGTGCCTCAATATAATGCAAATCTCCACCACAAGGCATCCCAGATGCATCATCAAGTTACCCATTACCAGACAACCTATTAATTTCAGAAACCTTTCTTCTATATCAAAGCTTCTAAAGTTAATAGGTTGTCTGGTAATAGATAACTTTGATGGCGGATCTAGGGTGCCTTATGGAGATTTGCATTATGTTCAGTGTTGAGGTACCTCAAATGACGTCATAAAGTAACCTACTACCTCTCTCAAACAACATTGTTCCATACAAACCACAAACCCAAAAGGACCATTCTCAAGTGAGGTTAGAATAGATGCTCAGAGCTGCTGTATTGCTTTTTTATTCCTGTTCTTTTCATCAAAAGGTAAAAGATGAAAAATGCTCCGAGCGCTCAGCCTTTCAAGACGAATTCACGGTTACTATCCAATCGGTCGGCTCCTGTTTATGCGCGGGAGTTTTGAATCCTTATATCCTGCTGAAAATTCGAAATTCTTTGCAGCCTAAAAAAGGATTATTTTGTTGTATAATTAATGAAACAGAAATCTTTATTCTATCTAGGATGACTTTTCTAAAAACATCCTTGGGATACATTGAGAAAAAGCGATTAAACAATGATTGAAATTCCAGGTATTGTGATGCTCCGGCGAGCGTACATCCGTACGAGTGGCCCGACGACATCACAAAGTGGCCGATTTGTCGCAAAACCAACAATCAAATTTCGAACGCGGCAGCCAATAGGAGGGACAAGAGCGCGCCACGTGACAAATTGGCCGAACACATGGTCTGTGAAGTGATCGGTCATCCGTGCTGTATCGGTATACACGGCCAATGTCGCATCACTACCAGAGAATATTGCGATTTCGTTCGCGGAACGTTTCACGAGGAAGCTTCACTATGTTCACAGGTAAGAACTGAACTTACCTATAGTTGAATCAAATCCAAGCGGCAGTAATGACATTAACTGGTCATTTTCAAACCTATCAAATGTCCTTCGTGCATGCGCACTGGTCCTGGTAGGGCGTTTCAACCCAATAAGAAGGCAAGATTAACAGCTACTGGTGTTTGCTTACAATTTAGGTTATTCAATGCTGCTTGGATTTTATTCAACTATAGAAAAGTATTGTAGTTAGTTGTTGCTGGTCAAGTCACCATAATGATTTTCTTGGAGATGTGGGATAACTTCTTGAACAAAGTTTAATATACAATATACACACAGAACCATGCAGGGCCGCAACTAGGGGGTGGTAAACTAGGTATGAGCCTAGGCAGAGATAATCCTACTCCGAAGTGAGATTATCTTTGGCCTAGGGCGCCAAAGTACCGAAGCAACTTAAATGAGTCAAATTACAGTGGGTGGAATTATTGTTTTCTATTACCGGCTTTCGTGAAAGATATCCTATAAGAGCCGCGAATAATAAAATATTGATCACTCTGTATCTTTATACAGTGGCTTATTTTTGTTGTCAAATTACAGTGGGTAAAATTGTATTTCTATTACCGGCTCTCGTGGAAGATTATTTGCATCAAGAGCCAGAAATAATCAAGTATTGATCACTCTGTATCTTTACACAGTGGTGGAATTATTTTCGATTACCAGCTTTCGTGAAAGATATCCTACAAGAGCCGGAAATAATAAAATATTGATCACTCTGTATCTTTATACAGTGGCGTATTTTTGTTGAGTCAAATTACAGTGGGTAAAATTGTTTTCTATTACCGGCTCTCGTGGAAGATTATCTGCATCAAGAGCCAGGAATAATCAGGTATTGATCACTCTGTATCTTTATACAGTGGTGGAATTGTTTTCGATTACCAGTTTTTGTGAAAGATTTCCTACAAGAGCCGGGAATAATAAAATATTGATCACTCTGTATCTTTATACAGTGGCTTATTTTTGTTGAGTCAAATTACAGTGGGTAAAATTGTTTTCTATTACCGGCTCTTGTGGAAGATTATCTGCATCAAGAGCCAGGAATAATCAAGTATTGATCACTCTGTATCTTTACACAGTGGTGGAATTGTTTTCGATTACCAGCTTTCGTGAAAGATTTCCTACAAGAGCCGGAAATAATAAAATATTGATCACTCTGTATCTTTATACAGTGGCTTATTTTTGTTGAGTCAAATTACAGTGGGTAAAATTGTTTTCTATTACCGGCTCTTGTGGAAGATTATCTGAATCAAGAGCCCGGAATAATCAGCAATTGATTACTCTGTATCTTTACACAGTGGTGGAATTGTTTTCGATTAACAACTTTCGTGAAAGATTTCCTACAAGAGCCGGAAATAATAAAATATTGATCACTCTGTATCTTTATACAGTGGCTTATTTTTGTTGAGTCAAATTACAATGGGTAAAATTGTTTTTTATTATCGGCTCTCATGAAAGGTTTTTTACTTCAAGAGCCGGGGATAATCAAATATTGATCACACTATATCTTTACACAGTGATGGAATTATTTTTGTTTACCAGCTTCCGTGGAAGAGAACTAGGCTACAAGGCACATTCGCCTAAACCGGATACAAGCTAATTCGTCTTATTACTCCCTATAGTGTCTAGTAGGTTGGTCCGGTCTATTGCACTCAGTAATTCTCAAAAAAAGTTATAAAGCTTTAGAAACATAGATCTCTTCTACCCCTTCCACTATGTCTGTAGTATTCGGTAGGGAAAAGTGAGTCAGCGTGAGATAATAAAAAGAGGGTGGAATGAAAATTTAAAGCAAAATTGAGGAGAAGTTGAGTAGATATGCAACCTCCGTCCTCCGGAGGAGATGACGTCATCTGTCATCCGTCAGTCATCTGTCAATTTCATCTGTCAAAGTCACCTGTCAATCTACTCTAACTTACTCCAATCTGCTCGAGCCTACCCGAACTGCTTTAAGTTTAAAGTGGGAAAATCTACTCCATATTGATTCAATTGATTAGTTAACACTCTACTGATATAAAACAGACTGACTTTGCCTTTAAAATACATAATCAACATTGAAAATATACAGGGTGTGCCACCGGAAACCCAAAAATCTGTGTACAAAACAGACACCCTGTATATACATGGTACAAAAAATAATTACATATTTATTTCATAGGTGTCCTGTCTGAATGACGTATGCGGTATGATGCCGTTCTACTTCCCGGACGTACCCGATCAATTCTACAGGCTGTGGACTTCGTTGTTTTTGCACGCGGGCGTTCTACAGCTGATCATCACGATCATGGTGCAACATTTCCTGATGCGAGACCTCGAAAAGCTGACGGGATCGTTGAGGATCGGCATCATCTACATCGGATCGGGAGTGGGCGGAAATTTGGCCAGCGCCATTTTCGTACCTTACCGAGCTGACGTAAGTAATTTCATTTGAATAGTGACAAATAAAAAAATGTGTATGTTATTAGGTTGGTCCTGCAGGCTCACAATTCGGTTTGTTGGCTTGCTTAATCGTCGAGGTCTTAAATTCATGGCCGATGTTGAAACACCCTAACCAAGCGCTCTGCAAACTCCTATCAATCACGATGTTGCTGTTTCTGATTGGTCTCCTACCGTGGGTGGACAACTACGCTCACTTGTTCGGCTTCGTATTTGGTTTCTTGCTCAGCTACGCTCTCTTGCCGTTCGTCTCCTTCGGCCACTACGACCGAAACAAAAAGGTATTTCTGATCTGGGTGTGCCTGCTCACCTCTCTGATCTTGTTCGTCGTCCTGGTGTTACTGTTCTACATAATTCCCGTCTACGACTGCGAAATTTGTTCGTATTTTAATTGTTTGCCGTTGACGAGGGACTTTTGCGCCAGCCAGAATATCAATTTTAAAAGGGAAGAGCCTATAGTATGACAAGAGGTGTCGCGGCGGTATGTCGCCAGTGTCGTCATGGGTGTCATGGCGCTAGGCGTCGCGACATTAATGACGGTGCCGTTGTTAACATTGAATAAGTGTCCACTTTTAGTATTTTTATTCAATTGTGATATTGTGGTTTTTTTTTTTGTTACTGGCCTAAAAAGTTTACAAACTCTGATACAAGTTTAAGGAATACAAAATTGCGAAAATCAACAATACAGAAAAGTCTTAGAACTTTGAAATGCTTCCTCAAACTTGGTGTAACAAGTTTGAAAACTTTTATTTTGATATTGAATATTGTTTAATGACTTCTTCTATTATGTTTGTTGTTAATGTTATGTTTGAATATGTACATACAAAAAAAAAAAAAACATTCCTATATCAGTTTGCTCAATTTTTGTTGGCCCATTTTTTTTTTTGACACAGTTCAGCAAATACAGTGTGCGTACAAAAGAAATTGAACCAAGTGACTCAAATTATATATTGACAGTGCAATCGTATTTTACTATTATCTAAAAAAAGGACATAAACTATGTGATAAATATTTAAACAAAAAGACTTTTGCTGCTAATTAATTAAATTGTCCTTTAATAATAATAATAATAATAATATTTGTTTTGGAAAGGGTATTTTTTAGTATAAAACAAATAAAATAAGAGTTGATTTTTGATTTAAAAACAAAATCAAAAATCCCGTATTTTATTTAGATTTAAAAATTTGTTTGCAACGAATTTTGCGCCATCTATAAGCTTTTTCCAAAATAAAAAGGTGTACATTTAACAAGTTTTTTAGCTTTAAATCCTTATATTTGTAATGATCAGGAACTTATGATCTACTCCCCAAAAACCAAAATCATGTATAATGTACTTGTCATTTCCCCTCCCCCCCCAAAAAAAAGTCTTATTTATAATATGATGTACTTAAAAAAAAAAATTATCGAACAAAAAACAAAAATATTTTCATTATTATTATAGAAAACAATGTATCATAAGTAGGACTTACTTAAGAATGACTCATGTTGTAAATATTTTAACGAAAGGTACCTTCTTTAATTTTAGGTGTGATTTTTTTCAATTTCTTTTAGGATGAAATTCCTTCCCTTCCTCCAACAGTGCATAAAAAAATATAATAATAATAATAATAATTACATAATTGTAAAGTATTGTTTCCCTTTTTTTTTATAAGAATTTAGCTATTATAATATTTGTAACATTGTGATTCGTGTAAGTGAACCTATAGCCGACAATTTCCTTTTTAATCATCCGTTTCCAAAAACGCCCCCCGTTTTAATTTTAGACTGATTCCTTGGATGGTCTTTTGTGTTTGTTGTTAAACACCGACAAAAAAAAAAATATATGAAAATAGAGGCAGAATTTACTTTTGAAATAGACTCATTTGTATCTTAACTAGAACGAGTCACACTTAAAGGGGTTTTTAATTACTAAAAAGTTTTAGCAGGATATACAGTGTTGCCAAAATGAGTCTATTTTAGATATGTTTCAAAATTATGACTGACCTATTTATGAATTTTTGAGAGTAATCCATTCTAAAGAAACCCTTGTATGTACAGCGTCCCCCTTTGTAATTATCAGGTGTTTACACTATTAAGACCAAAGCCTTACGATTAATATAATATGATAAATAAATTCTGCACATATTATGACAAAAATATTGTGTTGTTTTATTTCTTGGCAGGGTGAATTTTCTAATGCAAAAACTAATTCTAAGTAGAATGAAAAAATGAGCTTTTAGAATGAATTTTCTAGTCTCAAGTCCCAAAGAAACACACAAGTTTATATTCTCAGAATCTTTGAAATTTCTAAATTTTCTGACGATTTTGGAATTCTTAAAACACGGTTTATTGAATCGTCGCTCAAGGATACCCATAAGATAGGCTGGAGAGACACTGGTACCCATCCTAGCTCCAGAATCAAAAACGACTATTCAATTTCTTATATGTATTTGACTTTTCCAAACGATAGAGCGGGTCTAAATAAGTCGAAAAAAAACTCTAAAATAATTTCCAAATAACCAATTTAAAAGAGAAAAAATCCAAAAAAAAAAATGTAATTTTTTGGTTCTGATTTTTTTTAAAAATCATAATAAGGTTAAGAGAAATTGCCAATAAGTCACAACCCCTATACGTTTCGTCCTGGAACGTCACAACAGGAGCGTGACCTGGGTGCGTAGTTGGGGTTCAGGTAGAGAGAAACTCGTTTGGTATTGGTACAATAAGATATGTATCGAATATACAGGGTGTACTAGCCGCTTTCCAATATGGGAGTGTGATGCCCGGAGCTACTCGGGGCGTCAAGCCCCTGAGCTGTACGTAACGGTCGGATACTGGAACGCCCAAATTAAGTAAATACACGCCAGCGTCATTCTATAACCTGTCAGCTGTCACTGGCTATTATTTTTATTATTTAAACATTTCTTGTTTATTAAAATTATTGAATTTTCATTAAGTTTTCTTGTGTTCTTTTCAAATAGAAGTGTTAGAAGTTGTACAACTAAGTAGTCCGATTAACCAGAGGACTTTGTTGTTTGTGAAAATGGAACAAGAATTCATTGTAAGTAATCAAATTTTTATACACATAACTTCTAAATTGTAGTTGATTTTTTTGTTAAAAAATGTTAGTATTTATCTAGAATTATCCTTTAGGAATGGGTGATGCAAAGCAGTAGCCCAATACCTAGTGATAGTAGCTCTAGTACTAGTGAAGACAGCAGTGAGGAAAATGCAGAAAGGAGAAGAGGTGTCAAGAGAGTTGGAATAGAAAATTTTGTGGAGCAAATAGTACCAACATACTCTGATATTACTTTCAAGGAACACTTTCGAATGTCAAAAACCACCGTTCATTCACTTATAGGTAAAATTTATATTATAGAAATGAAACATAGGCATTACAAATGTATTTTTTCCACTATATATCTATATGTAACGGTTAAAGTTAGAAGGGCGTTTAAATTTTAAAAAAGTTGCCATTTTTGAAGAATATTGATATATAAAATAAATAAATAAATAATCTTCATACTGGCCCTCCTTATCTTGGACACATTGTATATACCTATGTTTTATATTGATTGATTGTTTATTATAACCTTAGAGCAGGTAAAGCGCTGTCCTACGGACATAAGGAGTAGGAACGCGCCATTCTGCTTATGAAACTAAAGTGAAGCTAAGTTTTTGGCAGGTGTTTGGCACCAAAATACAGGTAGTGCATTGAATTGTCATAACCGCCATTTTTTGTGGGCCAAAATACCTGGAAAAAAACGGCTTCATTTTACAAATCCAGGTTACTACTCCTTTACCTTTACCTGCTCTAAGGTTATAACAATCTCATTTTTTTTTTGTATTCTAGAGAGATTCAAAGAAAGTCACCACCAGCCCAGTAACAGAAATAAAATTGAGATTTCAGAGACAAAATCAGTTCTTCTCTGTTTATGGTATTTAGCCAACAAGGAATCATTCAGGCAGATATCTGACAGATTCAATGTTTCACTGAGCTCAGCTTACAGAGTATTACTCAGAGTGATAAGTTTCATTTGTGACCTGAGACAAGAATATATTAAATGGCCTGATACTAATGAAAAAAGGCGAAGCAGTGAAGAGTTCAGGAAAAAACAGGGGATCAACGGTGTAATAGGATGCATCGATGGAAGTCATATTTGCATAAATAGGCCTAAACAAGATGAAGACGTTTATGTGAACCGTAAAGGATATCACAGTCTTTTGTTGCAGGGCGTTGTAGATGAGAGGAAAATGTTTATTGATGTTTTTTGTGGTGAACCCGGGTCTTTGCATGATGCAAGGTTGCTGTGAAAATCAGACCTCTTCCAAAAAGCACTTAATGACCCAACATTGTTTGATATTATTATTTGTTGGGTGATTCAGCCTATCCAGCTCTGCAGTGGCTAATTCCACCATTTCGGGATACTGGAAACCTGACAGAGGAACAAAGGCAATTTAATTACAGGCTTTCTTCTACCAGGATGACTATTGAACATGTCTTCGGATTGTTAAAAAACAGATTTAGAAGACTAGGGCGCTTCGAAAATCTAGGAATACCAATTATAGTGAAATGTATAATGGCCGCCTGTGTTCTCCATAACATATGCATTTTGGAGAAGGACATTATTGACGACCCCAATGATGATCCTCATGATGTGGATGGCACTCCAGAGGAATGTATTGAGATTGAAGGTGAACAAAATTCAGGTCCACCCAACGTGAAAGATAAGAGAGATTTTGTTTTTAACCAAATGTTTGAAAGTAAAAGATAATTATATTTTTTATATACAGGGTGATTCAAAAGTAAGTGGCATATAAGCAAATAAGACAAAAAGTTTCTATTAACATGGGTCCGGAAATGCTTCCTAAGGGAGCTACGCCCCTTCGAATAGGACACCTGAAAGACGTATTTTTCTCTATAACTTTGAAACTTTTCACAAATGGATTTTGAAAATTGGTGTATTTTATAAACATTTCATGGCAATTAAGATACTAAATTGAAATTTCAAAAATCTTAATCAGTGGCGTCACATACTGGGGAGGGTGAGGGTTAAAACATCCCTATTTTTTTAACTCGTCAGGATTTTGCGATTCTGATTGAAAATTCAGAAAGTTTATAGTTTTTTACACAGAAAAGCTACTCTTGGTTCAATTCAATGCGGCTTACCGTTTACGAGAAAATTGACTTTGAAAATTTTCTGATTTGTGTATGTTTCGCAAAAACCTGACAAGTAAAAAAAAAATAGGGATGTTTTCACCCTCCCCAGTATATGATACTGATTAAGATTTTCGAATTTTCAATTTATCAAATCAAATACACCAATTTTCAAAATCCATTTGTGAAGGGTTTCAAAGTTATACAGAAAAATATGTCTTTCAGGTGTCCTATTCGAAGGGGCGTAGCTCCCTTAGGAAGCATTTCCGGACCCATGTTAATAGGAACTTTTTGTCTTATTTTTATACAAGGAATACGCCCCCGAAAGGATGCCGCTTACTTTTGAATCACCCTAGATTATGTAACGGGTCTTCAAAAAAAAAAACATTCAAAGATTGCTTTGGTTACAAAAACGTATCTTGGAATATTGTTTCTTTATTGGTCAGGATTTTTGACATGTCATTGTCAAAATTAAAGAAAAATATTGCTTAGATATACATTTAAAAAACCTCAATCTTTGATTGTTTTTTTTTTTTTTTTTTTGAAGACTCGATATGTGAGTAATGTGAATTTAGCTATTATCACCCTTATGTAAAATTTAGATTTAGAGATTGGTTAGTTGAGAAAATAATGTTTAAGGCCCAGTTGTACAGTCTCGGTTCAAAACAAAGTTCAACTGAACTTGACTGGTACTTGAGCTTTCCCATTTAAAATACATTGCTGTCAGTTATTAATCAAATTCTATCAATTTTGACAGCAATGCATTTCAAATGGGGAAGTTCAAGTACCAGTCAAGTTCAGTTGAACTCTGTCTTAAACCAAGATAGTTTAATAAATGAAATAATAAACTATTCAAGTAAAGAATTGCTTTATTTCAATGATTGAATGATTCAAAAAAAATAGTTTAAAGAAAATAAATATAACTTCTACCGAGACTTCTACTAAATAGACTAGCTTTTTCAGGAACTTATGGAAAACTAAGCTATTCAACTTTCAATCTAAACTACTACTAAATAAACAAAAAAAAAAATTAACATGAGTAATTTACAAAGAAATAAACAAATATAATAATATTGAAAGTACCTCTTTATCACGTTCTTGTTGCTACCTGAGAAACTTAAGATAATAATGCTATACAAAATTGTCTTTTTTGACATAATACTGAGTGGTTATTTATACATAATACATAATCTATCTTAGGTCTTTCCAGACTTTCAACGAGAAGGGGTTTTGATGAGCACTGTATAACAAAGAATCTAAGAGTGACAAGAGTTTTGGTTTATCTAAAGCGTCTTCTTAAGCTCCAAAAATTCTTTGAAGAGTTTAACTTTCTCTTTTTCCACTTCTATTTTCTGCCTTTCTGCCTGCATTCTTTCCATATGCCTTTGTTGCTTTGCTTCGTCCCTTCTCTTTTTTTCAGCTTCCCTTTTATCTTCCACGCTCGTTCTTTTTCTTTTGGGTGTCACGCCAGGTGAGTCTATTGATTTCTTGTGAATTTCTGTTTCTTCCTGTGTTTGAAATTGTACTGTAGGCTCCTCGGCAGGCTCTTAATTGTTGAAAATGTTTTCATTTAAAGGTTCAGGTTTACTAGATTTCAGTGAATGTTTACACGAATTTGAGGGCTTATTCCCTTGCAAACCATCCATTTCCTCGAAAAAGTGAAATCTTGAAGGTGCTCTCCCAGTTTTATTTTTATATTTATCATGAAATAAGTTACTAACCATCTTTTGCTCGAAGATATTCTTCCTCGTCTAAATGGATATTATAAGTTTTCTTTTCCTCGGGGTCGAACATTTCCAAAACATAATTTGGATTCTCTTCCATTTTTGATCTATATAAATAAAGCAAAACACAAACAAACAAATATTTTCAAATTCTGACAATTAGACACTTGACATACGTGGTGCTTGAAAATCCGCGAATAGGGGGGCTGGTGCATCAGGGGGCAGGAGCAGGGCCGTGCAAAGCACGCGCGGGCCCCAGTACAGACATTTCGATGGGCCCCCCTAAAGGGACCCCAAAGATTTTTGAGTGTTACGACTGCCCAAAAGAACACAAAGGGTAAAATCATGACACATGAAATCTGCTCAGAATTTTACGTTGTAGAAATACAATCCGAATATTCAATACCATACATAAAATTCCATTTAATGGAAGAGTTGAACCACCACCAAGGTTTTTAAAGTTAATAGGTTGCCTGGGGAGCAGATAGACGGAGCTACGAACATGCCAAACGATTTCCACATGTGGCTAAATTCACCAAAACGTTGCACCGATCTTAATGGGTTCCGTTGCCAAATGTATCGTAATAGCTTAGGAAAGGTGATGTTTGCGCACTTTATTACTTCGATTTCTACGATTACCTACTTCCAGAGGTATGGTGTGGCCCAGTGAGGATACGCACATACCTCTTTGGAGAAAATGGATCCTGGTTCGATTCTCGTTGAGGGTCATAATTTTTTTTTTTTAAGTTTTATTTTTTTTTCTTAGGGTTTTTATTTTTCTTATAAAGATTATCAAGAGGAAGGAAATTTGGATTAGCTCTGTTTTCGTTTAAAATACCAACTATAAAGACTAGCACTTATTACGAATTACAATGAAGCTCCGTCTGTCTGGTCCTCAGACTTTTGGGTTGCCTGGTAATGGGTAACGCATGTGGGGTGCCTTATGGAGATCATGGCATCATGTTGAGACACCCACACAGATGACGTCATAGCAGGCTAGCAAGCAACCTACCTTTCCCAAACAACCTTGACCACGACCAGCTTTTCTGAAAGGTGTAGGTATGCGAAAGGGAGTTTTAAAAAAATAATAATTTCAACAATAAAACTTTTATTTGAGACACTCTAAAATGTCAAATAAAAGAGGTATAGTGGGTACCATTTCTAACCAATAACCCTATACCATAGACCTAACATTTTTGACGAGCCGGGCCCCGGTTATTTATACCGGCCGCACCCCCCTATACACGGCCCTGGGCAGGAGGGAGGTAGAACAGGGCGTCTCACGTCATAATACTGGAATGGTACAAATCTAGTGCGTGGCGCCCCTGGGGTGCTCTAGAGCGCGCCAGTGTGCATACTGGAAAACGGCTCTGGTGTACACTTAGTGCGATATCGGACGATATCACCTTACAGGGTGATGCAAGAAAAATAAATTAAATTACAAAGTTGTTTGATACTCTAATATGTATTAGTTAAAAATATTTTTGAATATACAGGTTGCTCTGTTTATGGGGTATGCGACAGAACTTTGTTTTTTTTAATGGAACACCCTGTATGTGATTGCCTATTTGGATTCTACGTAAAATTCTGAGCAGATTTCGTGCAATATAGCCTATACCTAAGTTCAACTGTTTTGGAAATATTGACAGTTGAAAATTGACTTTTTGCAACTTTGACAGGCTGTAAAACTTAAGCGGTTAATTTTAGACGAAAACCGATTTCACATTACTGTCTTAAATTTTTATCAACTATCATTTGACACCAACTTTGAATTTAATCCATGATTAAAAATTCCAGTTAAATTTAATCTCCGGTTATATTCAAAGTTGGTGTTAAATGATAGTTTATGAAAATCTAAGATAGGAATGTAAAATCGGTTTTCGTCTAAAATTAACCGTTTAGGTTTTACAGCCTATCAAAGTTGCAAATTTTCAACTGTAAATATTTCTAAAACAGTTGAATTTAGGTATAGGGTATATTACATGAAATCTGCTCAGAATTTTACCTAGAATCCAAATTTGTAATCACATACAGAGTGTTCCATTTGAAATAACAAAGTTCTGTCGCATACCCCATAAACGAAGCACTCTGTATATTCAAAAATATTTTCAACTAATGCATATTAGAGTATCAAACAACTATGTAATTTAATTTTTTTTTCTTGCATCACTCTGTGAGGAGATATCGTCCGATATCGCACTAAGTGGACACTCTGTATAGAATTATATAATCCTAAGAATGGTACCATGACATCTCTTCTATGGAGAGACCTATAAACTTTGGTACTACTTAGGCCACTCTGTACACTTGGTGTGAATGAAGACTGAAGCTGGGTTTGAGACAGGTCCAGAAGGGTGTTTCTCATTAAAGGTAGTTTCCTTTAAGTAGTTGATAATATTTTCAATAAAATTTAAACAAGTCAGAATAAATTATACACTATAGAAAGGGCATTGAATTCTCTATAATTCTGTGCTGAATTGAGTTTGATACCTCAAATTCTTTCTGAGCAATTGAGCCTCAAAGTTGGGTTTTAGTCAAAAACTTCAAACTCAATTTTCTGGAAAACCAAAAATATTTTCTAATACAGGTTTTTTAGAGCTTAATAGGCGCTACAATTCCAGAAAATTTTGATTCAATATTTCTCACGGATTTCAAGATATTAAATCTTAAAGATTTTGAAATAAGAATCCAAAGGAATCAAGGAACACTTTGAAAAAAATCAAAAAGCAATTTTCAATTTTTCAAAAATTCTGACAATGTTAAGAAAAATGACCAATATTTCCATTAAAATTTGATCAAATCAAAATAAATTATACACTATTAGAAAGAGCATTAAATTCTCTATAAACCTGAGCTAAACTGACGGGTCAATTCTGTGTAATCTGTAAGCAAATCTATAAATTTCCATAAGCCTATAGACACTACAAAACGCATCGATTGTCAAACACTCCATCGAAAATATGTACGATCCTATAATATATACTCCTGGACAAAATTATCGCACCACTGCTTATGGTGCTTATGTGCAGTTGTGGTGCGATAATTTTGTCCAGGAGTATATTATGTAATCTACATGAAGTGCAAAATTACAAATTGTCTTTAGGAAACTATAGGCTTATAGAAATTTATAGAATTGCTTACAGATGTGCACAGAATTGGCCCATGAGTTTGACAGCTCAAATAATTCTTGAGCAATTGAGCCTCAAAGTTGAATTCCCACCGAAATTTAGTCAAAAACTTCAACAAGACACTGAAAATACTAAGAGATTTCAGACACATAATCGGCAGAATTTTCATTACTATTGGGAACAAAATAGGAATTAGTTTACCAGGAAATTTATTAGTAGAGGAATGAAAAGTTTCTTACAGGAAACTATACCTATTGGTGAAGATAATGAAAAATAATCCATAGCTTGTATAACATATATTTTGTCTAAATATGTTGCACTTATCAATCATTCGCTTAAATTTCCATAATCTACGTTAGTATATACAACTTTTTCAACTAAAAAATACGAAGCTATTTCAACTTATTTTATAGCATCTCTGAGTCAAAACAGATTTTGACTCAGAGATAAATCATCTAAAATTATTAATAATGCCTGCAATCTGCAATAGCTCTTCAAAGAACTATTGCTTATTTGTTTGCTTGCGCAATACAATAAATTGGTGTTACAGTGGGGGGCAGTACTAATTTAATAATTATTCATTTTAATTTGCGACTATTTACAGGAAAAATATAAATTCAAGCATGGCGATCAACTACTAACTTTTGGCAAATATTTTCCAAATTTTTCAATATTTGATTAGTAGAAAAATAATGTTGAAGCATGGGTTTATCATCAAAAATTTTCTAAATAAAGTTCTGAAAAACACCCTGTTGAGATGATTTATTCGGGTAGTTTTAATCATGGTAATTAATTGCAAATTATTGAAACTATGGCATCCAATAAAAATAAGTATGAGGAAAATTATTATTACTAATGCATGCAATGGTCTAAATAGGGCCAAAAATGAGGTGAATTTGTCTGGAAAATCAAGTAGGAACTAATAAAATAAATAAATGTAAAAGACATCTTGGAAAATACACACAGAGTTCACATTTTAAAAGGAATTTTCACTGTTTTTTTTTTTTTTTTGGAAATCAATTTAAAAAATAATTTGGGGTCAGTTAAAAAATAGGGACAATCCAAAAACATGTACGTATACAAAAGTGGAAGAATTGAGCTTTTTTATAAAAGTTTCTTTCTGATTAAACAGTTTCTTGCAATCATATGGGTATGATCGAAATCCAATGGAAAAATTGCATAGTGATTATTAATCGCTTTGTCTTCATCATAATCACTTGTGAATTTTGCAAACTTTCCACCATATTGAGCATCAAAAAAAAAATCCTAAGCAAAAACACTGACCCATATGAGCAAAACTTACAACACAATAACAACAAAATTTAAAATAATAAGAATAAAGATATAATAATGGATTAAAATTTTTTCGTAAAATAAAACCTACAATAGTAACTAATATAAAATTAAAATATGCACCAGATTAATTACATAAAACATCACACAATTTCTCAGGATACAGCAATAATTTGCATGATATTGAATCTCTTTTTGGCTGTATCAATTAAAATTTAAAAACAGGTCAGGATAAATAATGCCACATCTGAATAAAACAGAAAATGATCAAATAACTACCATTTTCAAATGCAATAAAATGTAATAGAGGGCACTTATAATATTTACGTATGATATGGAGTGACATAAGTGGCAGGAAATAATCCTCTACGATGCCCTATTTCTCCATGCCACCAGTGCTGATCTGAACGATCCGTCACAGTAATAACATCACCTCTTCTAAATTCAAGTTCTCCTACTTCTTGAGGTGTAAAATCATACAGGGCCTGTACTAAATACTACAAAAAAAAACAGTAATAATTGTAATGCAATATGTTCAGTTACAAACTTACTTCATCTGCTACCATGTCTCGCAGCTTTACATCTTGCGATCTTGACACTGAAGAAGTTCTGTGGTACTCCACTAACTCATTTAAGGAGTTAAATTTGACCACCCAAAGGAAGAATTTGCCTTGGGCGTCGCGTAAGACTTTGAAGTGTTGGACACCATCATTACACCTAAAATTATGTTTGAAAGAATAATGAAAAACAACTTTTCATAACAAGTTCAGACAATCTACTTGAAATGTAACAAAATTCCAAAATAGAAGAAAATGAATCAACGAAATTAATGTGATTCTGTATAAATTATAAGTGTTATTTTGTATGTAAGAACTCTTGGTTTCTTATACAAATACTTGCAGCTTTTTAATTATTCTCCTCAATTGTAAAATATCAAGATAATCCTGACTATTATCTGATAATTTCGTAGTTTGTTTTTTTCAACAACAAATTATGAGTCATAAATGTCAGCAATAATAATTAGTTTTTATTGTCCCCAATAATCAATCAATTATTATTTTCATGGTAAAACAGCATTCTTGTCTAAATATCATTCAATAATTGATTCTTGTTTTGTAATGATGTAACAAAATCTACTAACTTTACAGATAAGGAAAAATCTCCAGGGCTAGTTTCGCTGATCCTAATTAAAAAGGCCCCTTCGTGTTTGTTGAGCAGTAATTTTTCAGAGTCGCTTCGCGTGATTCTTCCATAATACCAACTGGAAAATATACATAAATAATATTGGATTATTTTCAGGCTAATTGACTTACTCGTGTGGTTTCATTTCAATATAGTTGCTAGGAATCAGACCTTCTTGTCCGTCCAGTTCTGCTCTATACCAATTCATGTCATCTTCCATGTTTAAAACCTACAAATATAATAGGGCAAAGTTAGGGATTTTCTTTCAAGTTTGCGCACTTAAAAATTCCCAACTTGATGCTTAAAAAAACCTAATTTTCCCCAAAATAATCCTTGAAAAAAATTTCCAGTCATTACAGTGATTTGAAACTTACACGATTTATCAAGGGATTTATAAAACAGATATTTTTTTTTATAAGGAAACTTAGGTACAGAGTCTGTTCCTTATAATTAGTACGGCTCCTACAACTTAAACAAAAGAAAAAAAGTTGAATACAAAAGTTGTAGGGTTTTATCTCTATTATCTTTCGTACATGTCAAAATGGGCAAATGACAGGTGTCAACTGTCATAATGACAGCACTTGCATTTTTTTGGCAGTTTTACACCAACCAGACTGGTTGAGTTGCTGTTTTGTTGCTGTTTTAAAAAACAAAAACTCAACTGTTTTTAACGATAAAACTGTTTACACTAAACAGACAAAAATTAGTTGCTGTTGAGTTTTTATTTTCTGTCATTTCACATCAGAGAAACTGTTGCCGTTTTGTTTAGTTTAATTCAGGAAGTAGATGGGTGTTCATTATTTTAATTTATTTATCAAGTGTGAACAGTTTTATCAGTAAAAACAGTTGAGTTTTTGTTTTTTAAAACAGCAACAAAACAGCAACTCAACTAGTCGGTTTAGTGTAAAACCGCCATTTTATACGGAACACCCTGTATATTTTTAGCTAGGAAGAAAGATTTTTTTCTTCTGATTTTAAATATACCATATATGTTGATATTTGGTTCAGCTGTTTTTACGCTATTCAAGTTTAAAAATGCATTTACCTTACCCTAAATTAGGTCTGTTCTCGGTTTCTAAAATCAATGATGAGACTTGCTCAATGCAATTTTAAAATGAAATAGCGCAAAAACAGCTGAACCAAATATCAACATATATGGTATTTTTGGAATCAGAAGAAAAAAATCTATCATTCTAGCCAAAAATACACAGGGTATTCTATTTAAAAAGATGCAAGTATTGTCATTATGACAGTTGGCACCTGTCATTTGCTCATTTTGACATATGCAAAACATAATAGAGATAAAACCCTACAACTTTTGTATTAAACTTTTTATTGTATTTTCTTTTGTTTAAGTTGTAGGAGCCGCACTAATTATGAGGAACAGACCCTGTATGTACCGTGCATTCAATTTATCTTGATAACCTTTTAATTCGCTGTAACTTTTTTGTTTTTGAAGGTATCAAGGTGAACAAAAAAACAAAATGTAGGGTTGGTAGCCAAGTTTTTTTTCAAGGTACCTATAAAACAAAACACTATCAATTTTATGACATATGAGCCTACATTATATTTTTTTAAATGGAACACCCTGTATATTATATATGCGTTTGATAGAATATCTTATTTCGATTACAATGATATAACACACTTTATATTTTAGTCCACTCGTTTTTGACAAATCGGCAAAAATATGATATTTTTATATGCACTATCAATGATTCTCTCCTCAAATATCAGATCGCCGCCTAATAAGTTTCACTTCAAAAGTTTCATATATTTTTGCCGATTTGTTAAAAACGAGTGGACTAAAATATGGAGTGTATTATATCATTGTAATCGGAATAAGATATTCTATCAAACACATATCTAATATACAGGGTGTTCCATTTAAAAAAATATAATGTTGGCTCATGTGTCAGAAAATTGATAGTGTTTTGTTTTATAGGTAACTTGAAAAAAAACTTGGCTACTAACCCTACATTTTGTTTTTTTATTTACCTTGATACCTTCAAAAACAAAAAAGTTACAGCGAATTAAAATGTTATCAAAATAAATTGAACGCACGGTACAGTTGCGATCAAAAAAAAGTAGTACAAGAAAAATCTCCGAAATCTCCTGGTCTATCAAACATTAATTTAATTCATAACCAAAAATGACATATTTTTGGCATTTTTCAGAAAGTTTCTAATCTAGAAAGCTTCAAATGACATTACTTTGGCATATTTCCACCCGGTTTTAACCTAGAATATGTCATTGCCTGTTTATTTACTGTCAAAATTTTGTATGTTACACCAGAAGCTCAAATTGGAGTTAATAATTTTTGTACTACTTTTATTTAATCGCAACTGTACATCAGCAATGGATCTTGAGCTTGTTAGGATTTTACATAAATAAATAAATAAATAAACTTTATTAACGGACAAGCCATTTACAGTAAATAACATAATACAAAAATATATGACGTTATAATATTAACGAAAAACACAAGAACTTAAAATTTAACATTTACGGTACATATAAATACACTGACATTTAGTACATGAAAAAAAAAACTTAAAAATACCCAAATTATTCTAGTGATTTAAAACTTACAGGATTTATAAAATTACTCTTATAAATTATATAGGGTGGTTGATTTTCGATAGTTTTATAGGGTACAGCCAATGACCTATTAACACAGATAGACAGAACATCCCATTGATAAAATAGCTTTGTTTTGGTTGACTACTAGCTGAGTCAATCTGGGGGGTCAGGGTGCAACAAATTAGCAACAGGCTGATTCCAGCGGGAATGTTTAGTAAGTGATCTCTTGTTTAACCTCCCAAAAGTCCCATTCAGTCCTAGAGGTGGGAGGAAAAAAATGGCCGCCATCTTGGATTTTGTTGTTTTTTTCAAATATCTCAGTTTGTATTAGTTTTTTTACGAAAACTCAAGAAACCTTTTTTGTGGAGAATTTAACTCTCTATAAAAAGTGTTCATACCTTTTTCTTTGAACATAAAGGATAACGGAGATACAGAGCTTTTTATAGTAAATATTTCAAACATTTCTTTACTTTTATCCCTTTCGAAATGTTTAGAAGAAGTCTAAGGTTAAATAGAGAACGAAAACGATTTCCCCTATTCCACCTCCAGCAAAAAACGCTGGGAATGCTAGAAGTGGAACAGAGGAAATCGTTTTCGTTCTCTATTCAACTTTAGACTTTCTTTAGACATTTCATCCTATCGCATTAAAATTGATACCTACAGGGGCGCCCGCAGAAAAATATGTAGGGGGGGTCAAAATCAATTGAATAAATTTTTTATGCGTAAAAAAGGGCACTTAAGTCTAAATTATCATTTTAGAAGCAGAATCAGAATTTTAAATGCAACATTTGCAAAGCAAAAGTTAAAAAAAAGGCAGTTTGAAGAGACACAAACTAACACACTTGGACGAGAAAAATTTTAAATGCAACATATACAATGCAAAATTTAGAGAAAAATTTAAATTAGGAAAATTTAAACAAAAAGGTAATTTGAGAAGTCACATATCAACAGACTTCGATAGTTATCTTTTTGAATGTGACATTTGCAAAGCAAAATTCAAAGGTAAAGACTGTTTAAAGAGACACAAACTAACATAGTCTGATATTTATCCTTTTAAATGTGACACATGCAATGCAAAATTTGAACACAAACGTAGCCACATATTAACACACTCGGATGAGGAATTTCAAATGTAACATTTGCAATGCAAAATTTAAAAGAGAAGGCGATTTGAAGGAACACATATTGATACACTTGGATATTTAATTTTTTTGAATGGGACATTTGCAAATCAAAATTCAAGCGGAAACGCGATTTGAAGATACACAAACTAACACATTGGGTTATTTATCCATTTGAATGTGACACTTGCAAGGCAAAATTTGAAGATAAGTAATTTACAAAGACACATTTCAACACACTCGGATATTTATCCTTTTGAATGTTACACTTCAAATTCAAATTCATTTATTCCAGGTGTATAGTACAGTAAATTACATAGTATTTTTACCCTGCAAGAGACAAGAAGTCTGTGCACAGGCCCGGTACTTAAAACTAAAGATCCTTGCAAATCAAAATTTAAATGGAAAGTCGATTTAAAGATTCACAAACTAACACATTCGGATATTTATCCATTTGAATGTGACACTTGCAATGCAAAATTTAAGCAAAAACATAATTTGAAAAGCCACATGTTAACACACAGATTGTTTATTATTTGATTCACTTAATGTGTTTAGCTCCGGGATCCTTGAACTCAGCCACAAAATTCACCAGTTCCGGAATAAGGAAAGGGTGACAATTTATCAATATGCAAATCGGTACACTGAGATATAGATATTAAATCAACTTATTTACTTCTTATAAATAGCTAAAATCCCAGGCATGGTAGAGGAAGATCTAAAACTTAGGCTTAAGCATTGAATATAAAAAAAAATAGTCAGAAATCGGTAAATCGTTACATAATTGTTTTGGAATGATATTTTTGGAGAATCAAGAAGTTAGCGATTTATTTGTTTTCGAGTTGTTAGCTATTCAGCCGAATCACGAAGTTCTAGTTAAATTTTCAGATTATCTCATCGACACATATGGCACATGCCTCGATAGACCTGGATAAGACAACAAATGCCTGTGAATCTTTCCATAGTCATTTTGGTAGATCTTTTTATTTTGCGCATCAAAATACATATTTCCACTTTTTTAGATTTATTAACTCATATGCAAGGCGAAATCTGTCAACATCATAAGGTAAGTTTTATGGGAAGTAGGTTGGGTTTCATGATTTGGTCGAATTCAAAGGTAGGATTACTGCAGCTACCTGGTTTGTGGCCGAATTCAAGTATGCCCGTTTTGCTCATACGAGCATCATCGGACCTACAATATAATATATATAGAAAATAATAATAATCTGGAGAGCTTGATTCACAGACCGTGAGAAATGTATATTTCTCACTCATAGAAAGTCACTTAAGATATGGACTGTGTTTTTGGGGTACATGTTCTGCGCAGTTGTTTGATAGTGTGTTTGTGCTGCAAAAAAGAGCCATAAGGTATTTGAGTGGAGCTAAAATGAGAGATTCATGTAAACCTTTGTTCATAAGACATAAAATTTTAACACTTCCCAGTCTATTTATTTTAGAGACAGTTTGCCTAGTTCATAAAAAATATAGAAATAGCTTGCATGCAACAGGTTTGTATAACACGAGG